AATTCATTTCTTGAATCTACTGACAAATAAAATATGTATAGATCAATTTAGTAATAAACAAAATTTGAATCTTTCTTTGGCTTTCTTACTCTTTCAGATCTTCTTGGAATATTAAAGTCAACATGCTTTTTTGGACTATCTGTTGGAGGTTCTGCCAAATGCATAGGATTTTCAAAATTAACATTTTGCATATCACTTGTATCATCTATTAATATATCATTACTATCCAAAGGTACATGTCTCAAAAATTTAACATTTCTTATCAATTTGACATGAGTTTCAGTATTGACAATTTCACAAGTTTCATTAGCTATAAATTTCAATATGACATATTTCACACTTTTATAGTTTGATTGTAATTTACTAGTATTTAAATTTGCAATATACACAATATCACCAATTTCAAAACTATGAGACTTTGCATGTCTCCTTTGATCTGTGTAATCTTTCATTTTGTTTTGATATCTTTTATGATAAGTTTTAATTTTATCATGATCTACTGTATCATTGTTCTTAAATAAAGGAATTTTAGTTTTAATGTCTCTAGAAAATAACAATTTAGCAGGAGTTTCATTTGTACAACTAGCAGGAAATGATCTATAACCTAACAAAATCTTATGCAATTCATCTTTCCAGTCCTTTCCTTCAGACTCAGCCGCTCTTAATCCTTTCTTTAAATAACGATGAAATCGTTTTCAATTTTTCCATTTGATTTGGGAAAATAAGGAGAGGATTTATTATGCTTAATATCACATGACTTGAGATAACATTCAAATTCTTCACTTACAAAAGATTTACCATTATCACTTACTAAACAATCAACATAACCAAATCTAGAAAATACTTGTTCTAAACATCTTATAATATTTCTAGATGAAATATCCTTAATGATAAAAGCTTCAGGATAACATGAATAATAATCAATGTACAATTCTTAATCAATTTGCTCATCCATGTAATACCAAAAGAAACGTTCTCTTAAAAATTTCTTGGTTCTTACAATACCCTGATGCGATTCATGTGCCAAATTTAAAATTTGCTTTTGTAAAGTAACAGGCATGACGATTCTATTGCCTCTTAACAATAAATTTTCACATTTAGAAAGCTCATTTCGTATTCTAAAATAAGGAATGAACTCTTTATCTTCTTCATATTTCCAATCAAAATTGTCTAGTTTGTTAATTACTTTTGTAAGAATTTTGTCTTTTAATGTTGCCTTTCTAATGTCATCTAAATTCAATGCATTTAAATTTTTAGTACACAAATACAAAACTTTTCTAATATCATCGGCTCACTGACAATACCTCGTATCCGCAAATATATGACTTTTCAGGAGAGACAAAAAACTCTTTTTCGTAAGTGTGGTGCTCAATACACAGATTGTTTTAAGAAAAAAGCGACATTGAAGACGCTTATAATTTGTCGTTTTAAAGGTACAAGCCTACATAAACGTGTTAAACTAACAGTGTAGATACGATAGTTTGGTTTTCAAAAAAGTTGACTATGTACATACGCCACATACGACACTTTGAATCTAAATCCGATCCTAATATTTACATAAAAATTGCAGTTACGATGTTTTGAAATTGAGTAGGAACTGGGTAAATTCCGTTTAAAATAGTGCCCGAGCCTCCTCTTCCACCTTACTATGCCATGCCACCCCACCCCACAAGCCTGAACTTCATTGTCACAAAACATTCCAAAAGGCATAAAAATTAAAGCTGGTTTACTTTAGAATAAATTTTAATGTAAATTGATTTCATTATGAATAAAACAATAAATTTTCAAACGTCTAGGCGTTGGGGATTGCGTCATAAAAGGCATGGTAATCTTTGGGGATAACAGATTTTAGTTCTTGCAGATGGGAATATTTACTTTGTTTAATTGGAAGGCGATGGGAGTGAAGCGGAGGGGGTATATCAAATTGTCGTGGGGGTGACTTCAGCCTGGCTTTTCGAGGTAAATCCTGAAGTGGCTCATTGAAGTCCAATTTAAACTGTATGGTGCCATCTGTATTGTAATGAAGTACGCGTATATCTGTGACTGTTGGGTCTCCTACTTTTGAGCCTGGTCGTGTGGATGAATAAAATTTGAAAGTAGAAAATTTCTTGAAGAAACTAAAGTCAACATATTTAACTTGATATGGATTTCGGGGACGGAAACATTTAATAATATCAACATAATTTTGCGGGGTGTAAATCGGGGAATTTTTAATCTTTCGTTCAATAACACTATGAACACTGTCCACTTTCATCTGTGTGTGACCTTTAATCAAATATTTGTGTGTTATATCAATGTTTTTAGCTGTGGCTATTTGTATCAAAGTGTTACTCAAAATTACATTTCTGTTCTGATAAGAACAGCCATCACTGTAGATAGTTAACGATTTTATCTGATTATCCTTCAATATATTAATAATATAATCATATAAACATGATGCAAAGGAATTTGCAGTTAAATCGCCCTCAGCTTCATGCCAAATATAACACATAACATCTGTGGTGGTTAAATCCAAAATGGTGGAATTATGACACGCCAATTTGGTTTTAAAATAAAGGGCACTAGCGTGTAATTTAGGGCTCAACAAATCTGACTGAAGGTCAATGGTGATCAACTTATGCTCTAGATTTTCTTGACATCTAGCTTTATCTTCAGACTTTTCTTTTCTGGCAGCTTCTTTATGTGATCACATTGATCTTTTTTCGGATTAAACAGGCCAATATTTTTCTCATTAAACACAGCTTTTAGTATACAAGACGATGCTGGTGTCTCTCCAGTAGCAGCACAATCATTCCTGTATGTTTGATAAACTTCTGAAAAGGTATGGAAGGTTGGCTCTAGGTACATCTTGCTACTCGTCGATCTGCAGTAATCCGATTCTAGTTTTGGTAATTTGTCAAGAAAGTTCTCTGCGCTTTCCCTCAAATTAGCATCGCCTTGCTTCCCTTCTATGTTTGTTTGGTGTTTATTCTGGCATACCATAACTGTCATCGGAAACTTTGGATAACCAACCATAAACTGTTTTTCCCCAATGCCAAGAGTTGAAAGAAATAGACTTTTACAAACTTGGACTCTCTCTTCATTCTTTCGCAAAAAGTACCTGTGGCTAACGTTTCTTCTAGAAGCAGTTGGTGCATCAGTTCTTCTTTGAACAGGTACAGATTGTATAAGTGAATTTACATACAGTTGATGTTCTTTCCAATCCAGCTTTTGCCAGAAACCAGACAATATCTCACTCCTATCTTCATCCGAAATTTTGGCACACTCTTTGTTTTTCTCACATTTCTTTGAACAAGTACGTGGTGTAAGTAATCTTTCCTGACTGTCCTTTCCAAAGACCCTCTTTCCTTCTTTTTTCTCAAGTCCTTTAAAACTTTTACCTTCCATTCTTCTCTGCTTTTGAATATTTTTATTCCAAATATCTGGATTCGACTCTCTTCTTTTTCTTTTCAATCTTTTAATTTGATCTATCATTTCTTCAGCTTCAGACTCTGATTGGTTTTTGGGTGGTTGGTACTCTGGGTCTCTGTCTGAGTTGTAATCATCTCCTGAACTTTCCGATTCTAGTATGTAACGTCCCTGATCTGTTTCAATTCTTGGTTCTGTTAAACTTTCAATTCTTGGTTCTGTTAAACTTTCAATTCTTGGTTCTGTTAAACTTTCAATTCTTGGTTCTGTTGAACTTTCAATTCTTGTTTCTGTTAAACTTTCAATTCTTGGTTCTGTTAAACTTTCAATTCTTGTTTCTGTTAAACTTTCAATTCTTGGTTCTGTTAAACTTTCAATTCTGTTAAACTTTCAATTCTTGTTTCTGTTAAACTTTCAATTCTTGGTTCTGTTAAACTTTCAATTGCTGACCTTGTAGGGCTACTTTCTAATCTCGTTTCTTCTGTAAAAGATTCCGTCAAAATTTCTAATTTTGATTTATCTTCCAGATCTTTCACAATCGTTTCTATTATTGGTTCAGTTAATAAGGTGCCTTTTAATGCTTCTATGATAACAAGTTCAAGGTCTGGATCCTCTGTATGACAACTTGATTCCACAGTTTGGGCTTTATGAAATGTTCTTACAGGATTTCTGCATAATGTATCGCTTTGTGAACGAAACTTTGGTTTAGTCATTTGTGCTTTAGATTGGATAGATTTTGCTTCATTTTGAACTTTTTCAGTGGCCAATTTAACCATCAACAAACCTCTGGAGAACATGATAACCTGCAATGAAATATACGATATTCATTATTCATGATAATCATATTCGTGTGGTATATTAAAAAAAACATACCAATAACAAAATATCGTATCTGCGTTTTAGGGCTATATAAAATGTGCAATACGAGATAATCATGTTATTACAAATTATCGTATCAGCATATACACTCTGATAAACGTGATTAATACAGTTTTATAATATTGTATTGCATTGTATTACTTTACCAAGGATATAATGGGGAAAAATAATAATAACACATGGGTATTTTAATATTACTTGTAAACAAGAGCATGGCGATCTCATAAGGCCTACTATTCAATATGACAATATAAAAGGCCATAAAAATGTAACACTGACTATTGTTTATTAGAAACACGTCAAACAGATAATGTTTAACGATTGGAAAATCTTAAAATAAGTTTCTTCTTACCAAATTGATGATTTTAACATAAAAATATCACGTCTTTGAAACTTTACGTCGACGTCGCCTTCATACAAGGTTTTGTCATAGTAAAAAATTGACCAATTACAATACGACATATTGGCACGTGTCATTACTTGCCACTTCTGATTGGACAAGAACTACGAGATTTTGTCACAGTATGCGCCTCTAAAAACCATTTACGATGGCCAAATAAAACAAAAAACTTAATTTTGCAGATACGAGGTTTTGTCAACGAGCTGATGTTATGTTTTATATGATTTATGATTTATTGTACTCATATAAATTTTGAAATACATATATATGGCTATATAGCATGAATGTTACCAGTTTTTGCAAGAACAACATGCATGGAATGCAGATTGTAAAAAATGAATGAGCAGAATTTGTTGAAAAAAGTACAAAGAAATTGAAATTTATACATTGTCTTTCTTTCCATATATACTAAAAGTGTATTAATGTAATGAAGAAACACCTAAGTACCTATAACATATGAAAATGATTTCTTTTTATTATAGAAATAAGAAAAATAAATCTGAGGTGAATCAGTAAATAGAGTGATTTATTCTCTTCTGAATAGATGATTTAATCCAAGTAAAATGTTGCTTGATAGGAACTTTTTACATAAAATATTTTCCCTCCTCCTGGTCAAATTAAAACATTATAAAAAAAATAAATAATAACACTATTTTTTAGACAATAGTGCTATGGGGTGGTTTAGGGAATAGATAATTAATGAAAAGTATTTTTTAATGAAAGAATGGCTATATTTACATGACTTCCAAATTAGGGAGTTTTGAGGTAAATTAAAATAAAAATTAAGAAAGGATCCATTACACAACACTATACAATATCAGCATTATAAGTCCATGATCTTTTACACCTATAGCAACAATAAATCTTTATCAGATGTTGTGCTGAATAAATTATGAACATTTTCTGGTTTTTTAATTTTTTCAATTCTTGTTGTCAACCTCTTTAAATTATGCAATATTAATCTGAAATGCCCAAAGGGCATAGATGGAATATAATTTAACTCTCAGCGATAAACCCTAAGCTAAGTATAAGAGAAATTATATGAATATATTAATCTTCCCTCCCTAGTCCCTCCCGGGTTATATGTTTATATAATTTCCTCCCTAGTCCCTCCTGGGTTATATGTTTATATAATTTAAGGTTGACCACATGCCTGGCTTTAAATAGACACTGACAAGAGGTTGCTGGGCCTGACATCAACTATGAACACGTCACATAGGTCAGGGCTCATGTTCGAATGCACTGCTTTGTTTTGCAAATGACTATTTTTTTTTTTTGTCAACTTCTGGTCACGCTCCCCAGCCAAAACTGCATATGTCACACATTATCTGACATGATCCTCTGTTGGGTGTCTATAAAACTAAGACCTAAGACTCTATAAAATTAAGACCCAACTATAAAACTAAGACCCATAGGGCTATAAAACTAAGACCTAACTATAAAACTAAGACCCAACTAGAAAACTAAGACCCAATTAGAAAACTAAGACCCATAGGACTACAAAACTAAGACCCAAAATTTTTAAATATGTTATAATTTAGAGTAAATAAAACAGTTCTTTTCAAAACCTGAAATGAAATGGAGTCGTGGCAAACGCCATGCAGTGTGCAATGATGGGAATTTTTTCAGGATCTTTATTGTGAACAGCCAATAGTACATGGGGCCTCGGTTTATTGTCTCATCCGAACGACTAGACGCTTCTTCTATGTCAGCCCCTCCAACCTGCATCGCTGAAAGGGGGAAAAATCCGAATGTATCATCTCGACCCGGCACGTGCCTGAGACGTGAGCTTGGACAATTTCAAGCTCATGTTATGTAATAAGGCTACAAATTGCTATTATATAATTTACTTCAACTTGCCCGAACTCGCAGATACTCTTGTTGTTTACCATTTAGTATTTATCTCGATCTTCCTGGCTGATACGTCGCTGGCTCTGTATGCGTGTATCTGCACAGTGTCCGATAATTTTACCCACCCACTCTTTTTTTTTGATTTTATTGTATTTTATTATACTTATATGTGTTATTGACCCTTGTTTTTGTCTCATTTTAAGACTGAGAATGTTTGTATTACCCCTCGCTCATTTTACCTTATTTTGTCAAGTAATCTTTTAGATGCGAGTATCCATTGGTTTAACGATTTAAGAATAAAGTCTTATTACACCCAAACCAAATGTTCTTATTATGTTTGGTGATACGAAACATTAAATAATCTTTTTGTTTTACAAAATTAAATTTTGTGACTGTGACTTGTGAAAAATCCGTACAAGCAAAACAATTCCATTAATCAAAATCGCATCCAAAAACATGGAAAACCGACCATGGCCCGACAACCCTATTTCCACTTTTTATTTGACTAATTGAAATAACCCCAGGCACCCGTCGCAATACCGCGTCGTTTGTGCTCATGCCCCCTACATTAATCGAAGCATCGGCCACTATAACATTTAATGCAGTAACAAACTTTTCTGAGAAATCTGAAATTACATCTTGTAATTTCGAATTGAAATTTCGAAATGTCCAAAATATATTTAAACGGGCAGATTTTTTAGGTTGCTTTTGGTCTTGAATCTTCAAAACTACTAAAACTATACAAAAATCTATATAAAAATGATAATTAATCATTCATTCAAATAGACTTAAACAAAAAATTTAACTTTTTCTTTTATTTCACACACAAGCTTATCTTCTTTCTAAAAAATTAGTGTATCCAAATTTGAGCTTCTTGCTGATATAGCCTCTGACGGAAGGAATTCTTCCGTCACAGCTGTGTGTAGACGAAATGGGACAGGATAATGAAGTCTACTGTATACACATGACGTCATTGTTGAGTCATTGAAATATTCAAGTCTCTCAAAATCGAATCGATGAGATCACATTCAAATATTTATAATCATGGATACACTAAGATTTGAAGGCAATAATTTATACGGTAAGTTGTGAACAGTATTACTGATTAGATAAGCGGAACAATTCAAGTTTCTGTGACCAAAATTTGATTTAACATCAGAATTCTAGCTCCCAGTACTTTAAATAGCAATTGTTAACCATCCCACTTTGTTGAGTTTAACCGTGAATTAAAGTAGGCCTAAGCGCATCATGTCATTCCTTTCTATACACCCAAATTATAATGTCTGTCCATCCGTCCATCCGTCCAAAAATGGCTTGTGAGCGCGATAGAAACTACAATTTTTATCTTATTTGAATGAAATTTGGTGTGATCATTTATATTGATGAGATCTTGGACAAGTTCGAAATTGACGATTTTTCGATCGACGGTTTATGAGTTATTGCCCTTGACTTTGACTAATTATTGCCCTGGACTTACTAAAACACGTCAAAATCAATATTTGACAGGTTAGATTTTTAGTTAAATTTGACATAGATTGACAAGCGCCCTTGATTAACTTAAAATTTATCAAGGAAGTCGGCGTATCTTGCTAGGCAACTACTACTACATGATTTACAGGTGAGTGGAGATTATGTCCGTGACAACATATTAGGCTCACATATTATTTTTTAACGCATACAAAGGATATAGTCACAAAATTTCAAATTGAAAATAAGAAAGATTATTCATTGTTTTGTATTTTCATTCATTATAAGAACATTCCAACTTTTTATTGTAGCCAGCGTAAAGTAAACAACAAGACTTTACTAGGCCTAGTTGAAAGAAATAAAGAAAAATGTAAATGGCAAAATTTCGAGGCAAATCATTAAGTTCCAATGCTTGTGTGCAAGAATCTCTATATCATCTCTAAAATACTATATTCATAAATTAAACTTAATGGATACTCTGTGTGTAGGTTTTAAGTTAAACGTCGTTTCGTAGTCGTCACGTCCTTGCCGACAAAAAGTCTCATGATTTGACGTCACGTGACTTTATTTTGGGCTTATAGAAGATGTCAACAATGTTGCCGTTAGGCTACTGCAGCAATTTCTCAATTCGATAATTTGCGAAGCAACAATGGGGCTTGGTGGTAATAATTAATGTGAACACTCCATTAATACAAAGAAAGAAATATGGGTTGAGGCACAAAGGGAGAGGGTATTGGGGGACTTACAGAAAACTTACATAAAATCATCTGCGACTGGCACAAGACATTTTTTAAATGCCCAAGACTAAAGCACATAGAAATCGAATTCAGTAATTTTTGAATCAACCAGATAATCAGTGGCGGATTAAGATTAGTCCTATGGGTCTTAGTTTTCTAGTTGGGTCTTAGTTTTATAGCCCTTTGGGTCTTAGTTTTATAGCCCTTTGGGTCTTAGTTTTATAGTCCTATGGGTCTTAGTTTATAGCCCTATGGGTCTTAGTTAACAATTCATAATTTTTTTCGAATTGCTGCTCTAATTCTAAATGTATTTTGAACGTAATTTTTTTTCTGTTCATTACTTTAAACAAATGACTAAAATAGCACTCCGATTTTTGAATTTCGATTTTGCTTTCGAGTTATTTCCGGTTGATTTTTTTTCAATATTGTCCAAAACTTTGAAGGCTCATATCTCTTGACCTTAGCCTTTGGTGACCTTGTGACCAGAACAAAAGTTGTAGCCTTAGACGAGATCTATCCGAATATGTCATTTTTTTTGTTGTGTAATGTTAACTTCCGGTTCTATAGGCAATTGAAAATTGCTATTTTTAACTTTGAAGAGATCTGTCACGTGACCTAATTAACATATGACAAAATTTCTTATATATTCTTAGAGTGCATGACCTCTCCTTTTTGGTGATATATCACACTTGATATTTTGATCAATATTGCGTTTTTTAAAAATTGAAAATTTTGTACTGACTTCTAAGTAAATTCACAGTGTCTTTAATCCACCGACAGTCACCGTTGCCTAAAAAAACTTTTAACTACGAATATCTCCTGATCTAATGATTGTAAACACTAGAAATTTTGAACATTATTCAACATTGTACACATTATTAGAGACAAAACAAAATTTTTGAAGTGGGCATGGCAAATCCGGGTTACTTTACCTTTGCAAGGTTTAAGGTCATTGATCTAGGATGTCCATTCATACTTTTATCTTTGACATATTCTTCCGCTTTTTCAGACTTCCGAAAACAGCAATTTTTAAAACTTTTAAGGCTAATATCTCTTATTTGACCTTTGTTGACCTCTTGATCAGAACAAAAGTTATTGTGCTTGTTGAGACCTATTCGAATTTATACTACCGAATAATAACACATTCTAGTACCCAATGGTATCAAATTCATGCGTCTTTTCACGTTTATCGATTTTTTACTACCGAATGTTCACAAACTTTTTTTTCAGTAAGAAATCCCGCTTTAAAATGCTACGTTTCACTGATATATATCATCTAGAATATGCACTGCACAGTTCGAGTTTTTATTGCTTTCTTTCTTTTGTGTACTTTATGTACGAAATAAATAAATTATTATTATTATCACCTGTAACGTAAAATATTGATAGTTGGTGTTTTGCCCACACTTTACAAGCTGGTTAATCCTAATAAGTCACCATTTCACTCTTTGAAATATGACATCTTACATGATATCTCCGCCGTCAACAGTGGAATAAAATTACAATCAAACTTCACCTTACAGGTAAAGTTGATATTGGGTTTCTATTACTTTATTACTACAAACATAGCACTCATTTTCATTGAATTATCATATTTCAGTGTGAAGAGGAGCAAAGTAAAGATACATTAGAAGTTTATGGAAGTGTAACATGTAAAGCAGAAATTGATGGAGTTACTTCAGATATAACATTTAATATATCATATTTAAATGAAGGGTTGACAGCTCCATTAGATAATCTTGTAATCCACCATTGTGTTCAGTCTGTTGACTCTGATATCATTCAAAAAGGTAGGCTTAACCTTCCAGGTGAAACCTAAAATCGTATATATATGGAGTGTAAACCAGGGTCTCTGAAGTCATTGCTTTCTTAATCTATGCTTATGGTGTGGTATCCAGGTGAAAGTTATAGAAATATCTCTTGAGTATTCAATATTTTGTATGGCCTCAATCTGCCTAGAAATTTTTGGCAATTCTTGACAGATTTTGATGAAACTTGATGTGAGTGTTACTAATCACCCAAGGATTACCCTTGATTAATCAGAAAAATGAGTGTTAGCTATCACCCAAGGATGAATCGAAAAATCGAAAAATAATTAGTATGAGTCATTGCCATTGATTTTGACAAATTGACTGTGAATGTTTGTTATCAACCACTGATGAAGCCTATCGAAAATCAGAAAAAAATCTAATTAGTATGAGTTATTGCCCTTGTTCTTGAAAACGCGTTCAATTTTTAGCTCGTATATAGTCTAGGAAGCACAATTCTTGATGGATTTGGATGAAACTAGGTGTGAGTGTTACTGTTAGTTATCACCCAAGGATGAACCCTATAAAAAATTAGAATCGAATAATATTTAGAAAGAGTATTTGCCCCTCTTCTTGAAAACATGTTCAATTTTTAGCTTGTAAACACAGGTTGAGTTATTGACAGATTTGATGAAAATTGGTGTGTTTGTAATCACCCAAGGAGGAACCCTAATGAAAATCAGCACAATGGAAAAATATTTAGTATGAGTCATTGCCCTTGTTCTTGAAAACACATTAATTTTTTAGCCCGTAAACATTCTGGAAGGTTGAATTATTGACAGATTTTGACAAAACTTGGTGTGAAGTGTTTGTAATCACTCAAAGATGAACTCTATGGAAAATCTGAAAAATCGAAAAATATTTAGTATGAGTTACTCAATATTATTCAGTATCGCCCTAAAGAAGTGTATGACTGAAGGTTGAATGTTTCATATTGTTAATTGTTACTGTATTGCCAAATATTTTTATTGAAAATCAAAGCTGCCTGTGGGATATATAACCTTGCCTGGCAAGCTATCTTTATATTTTCCTGATCAGACATCTGATAATGACATCCTACACAGACCTCCTCCAAAGATGATTATTAGACTTGACAAACTTTCCACCATAAACCTAAACATAATAACAGACTAGAACTGTTCTAATAACAGTACTGATGCAGGGCGGGTTACGACATTCAGGTACATACGAAGATGGTCTATTGCAATTACATTGATGTAAATACTTTTCTGCATCTCTAAATGCAAATATCCAAAAGTGCCTTGAGTTTCAAGTATATTGACTAGGAATAAAAGAATATTTGTCAATTAATAAAGACCAAGTTTGATGAAATCCGGATAAAAAATAATAGATTTGGTAATGCGCATGTGCACAACAAAAATTCAATATTTCCAACAAATTTAGAATTGGATATGATACACATACATACCAAGTTTGTTTAAATTCGGATAAGAAATTAGTGAGTTGGTAATGCGCATGCGCACAACAAAAATTTCCAACAAATTTAGAATTGGATTATACACATACATACCAAGTTTGATGAAATTCTGATAAGAATTAAGAAAGTTGGTAATGCGCATGCGCACAACAAAAAATTAATATTTTTATCAAATTTAGAATTGGATTATACACATACATACCAAGTTTGATGAAATTCTGATAAGAATTAAGAAAGTTGGTAATGCGCATGCGCAGAACAAAAATTCCATATTTCCATCAAATTCAGAATTCGATTATACACATACATACCAAGTTTGATAAAATTCGGATAAGAGATAAGAAAGTTGGTAATGCGCATGCGCACAACAAAAATTCAATATTTGCATCGAATTCAGAATTTGATTATACACATACATACCAAGTTTGGTACAGTGCTAGAGAGGCTTTGCTGTTATAACTTGCAAAAAATATAGCAAATTTGCATAATTTAAAGTGCCACAGTATAACGTTACGTTTATGCAATACAATGCAGAAAATTGTATGTAAATCGAGCTGTAAATAAGCATACCAGTGCTTTCCGTAGTTAGTCATAGTGGTACACCTCTACGCTTTCCGTTTTTTCAAATATGTACTGTTTGACATTTAAAATCTAATGACTGCGGAGTATAGGTACGACATAGTTAAAATATATCCATACCATGTACAGTTTCGTCTGTGAGCTCTGTCAAGAATTCGAAAAAAAAAAAAAAAAATTTTTTCGATTAACGGAAACAAAGCAGAGTGTTTGTAACCTGCAAATAATACTAAGAATAGTAATTTGTGGATAAATTACCATTGAATACATCAATTTGATAATCGAGAATTATTTGTTTATCTTGTAAATCTCTCCAGAAGTAGGTTATTTCCTATCAAATTGATGTATTCCAATGCTTATATCCACAGTCCCTACTTGTGACCTAGGCGAGTGCTTCTATAAGATAGTATGTCTTATAAAACCTTATACCAATATAATCTTAATATACTATTAGGGCATTATTGCTGACATTCCTTAATACACATAACATATATCTCATTGTCCTGTATCAGTACTTGACTATACATATATCTATAAACATCATCCAAATGCTTAAAATTTGAACCTAATCGTGACAATGGTAATATATCCACAAGTACTATTTTTAGTATTATTCTGTTGTTATGTTTAGGTTTATGGTGGAAAGTTTGACAAGACTAATAATGATCTTTGGAGGAGGTCTGTGGAGTTAATGAAAGGGGATCTAATCTCCCATGGACAAGAACATTACTCAGATTTTTATTCCTATTGTGAGCAGTCACCAAACGTTTAGTATTTGATGTTAGGGAATTCGTCCTGAAGTTTTTTATAGAAGCATTTGACAATCACAGATGTATATTGCCCTCACCCATGTCTGTCTGTCCATCCGTCTTGACAAATTTTGATGAAACTTGGTGTGAATGTTCGTTATCACCCTAGGATGAACCCTATTGATAATCAGAAGAATCCAAAAAATATTTAGTAGGTGTTACTGCCCCTGTTCTTGAGAAAGCGTTCAATTTTTAGCTTGTAAACACTTTGGTGTGAGTGTGAACACCCAAGGATTGAAGGTATAATTTGATTGTCATGCTGTATATTTAGGCTTTTTTCTATAACTGTTTGTAATTGGTCTGTCCAGAATAGATAATACATAGCAGACAAAACTATAAATTCCTTGAAATTTTATTTTCAATATTTTTCAGACAGTTCAAATGTCAGGCCATTACCAAGACGAATTAGATTTCTACCACCATATGATGTCTTTACATTATGTCAGTATACTGTAACTCATGTTCAGGAATTACCTATATTTGGTGTATATAAAATGAAGGTATAATAACATTTGATATGTATGAAAAAGTTTATTTTTATACCCACTTCGTCGTCAATTGTCATCACCCCTTTGTGTCCTTTTGACTGTCTGTCCGTTCACATTTCTTGTAGACAAGGCTACAGTTTTTATCTAATCTTAATGTTATTGGTATGTATGTATATATTGATGTGATCTCGCTCAAATTCGAACTTGGCTCGTTTTGGATGAACAGTTTTTTAGTAATTGCTTTTACTTAGTAAAAACATATCAAATTTAGCTAGTAAACACAAAAGGAGCTACAGCTTTTATCTTATCTTACAGGATTTAAGACATGAAATAAATGAGAAATTTGTGGAGCATGGCATGGCTTGGTTAATATATTAGGCAGAAAATTTTTATATCTGCAGTACAAAAACTGCAAAAAAAGACAATTTCAATCAAGCTGTGCAACCAAGCCTATCTTAAATTGGGTCTGCCTTACATGACCTTGTGACGTCATAGAAGACAAGAAAGAGAGTTGACTCTATGTTAGTAGCGAGAAGCTGTTTCAGTTTGCTAAATATCTGAAAGGAAATTTTTGATATTTTAGACAAGGATCACAACTCTTTAGAGTCCGACAGCAGCTACTACAATGACAACAAGTAGGCAAGACATTTTTTACAAAATAGCTAACTTTTGACGGATTTGCTGACACAACGTCATCACAAGCGAGCAGTCAGTGAATCAGACATTTTAATAATAGAAGTATTAGGCTTTGACAAATTTCATGCTAATGTGTAAATTGAAGAGTTTTTTTCAACTTTTTGCTCTAGCCATGTCTTTTACTGAAGCAAAGAATATATGACACTGGTAGCAGAGTTTCTGACCACCACTTCTATTTGAAACAAATCGCACGTTCACTTGTACATTAGCCATGATGCAAGGAAATAGTGATATAATATGTCTGTTGTTATATACATGCTTCACTTATGTTCACTCACTTTATTCAATTTTAAAATTATATTCAACATTTTGACACGTGAACTTGTATCACTAATATTTTCTCTAAGTTAGGTTAACATGGTTTATATCATTATCTGCCCTAATCTATAATTCGAAAATTTAATTTGGATAATCTGCCGAGAAAGTGGAAACAAACAGAAATTACAATACAGGAAACAAATCTTAATCCTTCATTTGAATGGCTGGTTGGAGAATTTAACCTATTTAAGATTTATTGTCACTCTATGTAATCTATAGGACATTTTGGTTACACTTCTTCATTCGTGTAACAGAGAAAACCAGTGACAGGAAAACTTGATATAAAATAGTTTATTTACAACAGCAAATAAATAGCAAATACTTCGGTATATAGATATAATGTATATATTATAAACTCTGAAATAAATAAATATAATAACTATTTTAGACACTAGGAAATAACCCAAACGATAGTTTTATGTAATGGAAATAAATATGCTGCAGTTTTAAAATCGGATAAGATTAATATTTACAATTTAACCTATTTCAATTAGATACAATGCTTACCCTAATTCCTAGGAGTTTTAATTCAAAGTAGTATTTCAATATAATCATCCTCTGTGAAACTATAAATATTCAACACATGAAACTCAATGCTTTCCTTACGAAAAACAAAAACAAAGTAACTAGGAAACTAGTGAAAAACTGCCACCTATAGGAAAAAAGACTAATTAACTTAACTCATGATGAGTGCTATTTACAAAACTATACTTAGGCCATACCAAAATAATTTTCTGTTCTTCGGGATTTCTTGAAAAAAAAAAGGTACGAGCGAACGAAATTTTTTTTTTAATTTTAAAAAAGAAATGTCTAAAAGTTAGTAATCATTGATTTGGTTGGTGCGATATAATATTTTTTAATTTTAGAAAAAAAAAAAGTCCCTTGGTACCATTAAAATTTTCCAGCATGGATGATTTTGAATGTATTCAGATAAAATAACAATTAATAGTATTTATTTTATTTATGGTGTAAAAAATAACAATAAAAAATAATAATAGGTGTCAGTGTTGCGGCCATACATGGAAAGCTCAAACATTTTGTTAAATCTGCAGAATAACATTCCAGCTTACTCACACTCAAGGTGGGCGCTTTCTTATGCAACTCAATAACACGATTGTAGCCTTGAAAGGCTTCAAAACATTTTGGTATGGCACAACTAGCTGTTTTAAATTTGTCATGGTGCGTATCGACATACCACAAAAAATTTGTAATCTTCCACAAAATTTCTTTTGCACAGATTAACTGGTCTTTTGACTAGCCATCATCAATTGTTTTGCACCAGTCTAGCACATCACAAAATAGTTTTTGAGGTCCAGTTAAGGTTTTGTCTAAGACTGGTGGTGTAGGTTTTTCAGGAAATATTAATGTCTTTCTTGATGCCATCATAAAATCGAACACATTTTTATCACTTTTGGAAGTATTACAAACAGGTTCTTCAGACGAAGAATGAGAAGGCAAGTTAATTAAAAAGTCCACAAACTTGGATTTCAGTTCATCACACAGAGAAATTTTCAACGAAAGTGTAACCAAGACACCGTCTGATTTTTCCATATTGTCCTTGATGTACACTTTTTCTGGGATCTGTGATATGCACGATTGAATTCCTGCAGATGCCAGATCATAAACATCTTTAAAAGTGTTTTCAGGCTTAACATCAAACGCCATGTATGGCGAAATAAGTTTCTGGTGTGACCTAATTTTGATTACTAAAATCATTTTGGTAAAAAAGACAAAAACAAATATTAATTCTAGCACTGCATCGGCCATGCCTATTTCTGATAATTATCAACTTCCGCAATTTCGCTGTGTTCAGTCGTCGAGAATACGTTCTTGCTTCAGCGAAGGGCCTAAACTACTGTACGAACTCCTCTTTCAACAGCTGGAACATGTTCTACTATAATTGTCGCAGGATGTCCACAAACTGACAAACAGAAATAGAGGGAGCAATTAGTTACTTCTGCTACCAAATTTTAGGCTTAGAGAAATAAAAATGAAACTAAAAATGAGAGCTAAACAATCATGTTATCTGATCAATTTAGAGGTACGGACATACGCAATATAATTTTTTTTTTAAAATTAAAAATTCTTTTTTCAAAATTTTACATACGGGAGCTCTTTTGATACATACGGAATATTATTTTTTAATTTTAAAAATAAAATTTCGATAACGGAAAATCGGGTACGGAATTCCCAACGAACAGAATATTATTTTGGTATGGCCTTAGCAGACGATAAAATGAGACTGCCAACATAACAAACACCAACATAGCAACGAAGCAAATACAAAAAGACAATATGAAACAATATAGGCTACACAATAATATACAACACTACTACACTATCCCCCCTTTGATGAAGTGGCGTTTCGACACTTCAACGAACAAAATTACAAAATATTTTACATACCCCACATTAACTATACAAAAACAACCCAATCACTGTCTTTCATCCATCCTGGTTTTGTACGAGTTCTTTTTTTTAGGAATTGGAGACGATTTCGATTGGTCAGAAGAAATGCTCAGCGATTGGACTAAATTGTCAGCTGACATGTCACAATGCGTGATATTAACTGGTGAACTTGAATCATTATCATTCAAGATAGTAGACTGCGAAGTATCAACACGTGAATATGTGGAAGTGTTTTTCATAGAAAGAGATGATCTGGGTAAAGCAATGGGTATACCTCCACTACTTATTGGAAGTAAAAGATTTCTGGGTAATGTACGAGTTGATAAAGTGCCTTGTTTTTGAACAATATAAACAGGAATATTTGAATCAGGTTTAGATATAACAATATAAAAATCTTCCTCCCATTTATCTGCTAATTTTTGCTTACCTCTGATATTTACATTTCTGACTAAAACTAAATCACCAACACCAATAACAAAACCCCTTTGTTTTACATCATACTTTACCTTTTGCTTCTTCTGTGCTAAATCAATATTATTTTTAACAATGTCACAAGCAGAAGAAATCCGTGATTTTAAACATTGGGCAAACAGAATATGGGAAACAGTAGAATCATCAAATCAGGAAAACCAAACAGAATATCAACTAGCAATTTGGGATGACGACATCAAAAAGTATGGACTAAAATGTGTTGTGTCATGGTGAGTAAAATTATATGCGAACAGCAACAAAGAAACATGCTGCTTCCAATTGGATTTCTGCTCAGTTGTCAAGGTACCCAACATATTCAGAAGAGTGCGATTAAACCTCTCCGTTAAACCATTACCCATTGGATGGTACAGAGTTGTATGAGATTTCTTGATGCCCAAGACAGCACATACCTCTTTTGATGGTGCTCTCGAAGTTTCTACCCTGGTCGGAATGGATGCGTGTAGGAATGCCATATGGAAGAATGAAATTTTGAAGAAGTGCTCTAGCTGTTGTCTTAGCTGATTGGTTCTTAGTTGGGACTGCGACTGAAAATTAAGTAAAATGATCTGTAATGATTAATATAATCTCCATGCCACCTTTTGTCGCTTCCAGAGAAAGAAAATCCATACATACAAGTTCTAAGGGTTCTGAAGATTGAATATTTACGTTCTGGCACATTGGGTGACTTCCGGCGAATACATCGCGGACACGACTTTACCTTGTCTTCTGCTGCCTTTGTCATACCAGGCCAATAAAAACGAGACTTCAACAAATCCAATGTACGCTCCCTGCACATGTGACAAACCTTATCATGCAAGAAGAACAGAACATCCCTTCTCAGATGCTCTGGAACAAAGTTTTGGAATACTGGATCTGTACCATCTTGAAAAATTTACGATATGGAAAGTCATTTTGGATCACCAGAGAATCAAACTGTCGCAGAACAGACCTGGATTCCTTATCCAAAGCACGTAAGATATTGTTATCAGGACGAACACCTTTCCTAACCAAATCGATAACATTCCTTATATGGGCATAATCATACTGAGACTTTCCAATTAAGGAACTATCAATAAATTCAGAAGATCAATCTTGAGCCGAAGGTGTAAGTAAGTAATCAGTTACCTCTGCAGACATACAAAGCGTCTCAATTTTACCAATATCTACATCATGATAGTTGGCAATAGCAGAAACCACCGAAGAATCCAAACAAACAGGAGGTCTAGACAGCAACCACATTATGAACACCTGGAAGATATTCAAGAGAAAAAATCATATGCTGCTAACTCAGCCAACCACCTATGACCAGTGGCATCTATCTTTGCCGATGAGAGAACATAGGTTAAAGGGTTATTGTCAGTTTTAACTACGAATTTATTGCCATACAGATATTCATTTTTCGTTACTGCCCATTTTAATGCCAAGAACTCAAGTTTATAAGCTGGATAATGCTGTTCAGATTTAGATAAACACCTACTTGCGTAAGCTATGACCCTACGATGACCATCCTGCATCTGGTACAAAACTGCTCCAAGTCCCAAACAGGACGCATCTGTATGTAACTCAAAGGGCTGAGAAAAATCTGCAAATGCAAGAACTGGTGCTGATGTTAAACATTCAATAAGGTTTGAAAAAGCTTTCTGCTGCACTGGACCCCAAACAAAATTATTAGGTGAATCTTCTACTTTCCTTTGACATCGTTTACGCTTACTTGGCTTATTTCCTGAAAGAAGACTAGTTAAAGGTCTAGCATAACCAGATACGAAACGTCTAAAATACCCACAGAATCCTAAGAAACTTCTTAATTTATCTACATTTTGCAGAACAGGCCATTTTAGAAGAGATGAAATCTTATCTGGATCAGTATGCACACCCTCCTCTGAAATAACATGTCCTAAGTACTTAATTGAAGATTGAAGCAAAGAACATTTAGAAGATTTTAACTTAAGGTTGTGTTGCCGAAGACGCTGAAAAACAGACTCTAGATGAGAAAGATGCTCAGAAAAGGTTTTTCTAAAGATGATGACGTCGTCTAAATATATCAAGCAGCTTACTAAATTCAAATCACCCATGCACTGTTCCATAAGGTGCTGAAAAGTTGCTGGTGCATTCGTTAACCTAAATGGCATGGAATTGAATTCGTTAAAACCCAATGGTCCAGCTGTAAATGCAGTTTTAAACTTGTCTTTTTCTGCCACCTGCCAATGCCCACTTTTCAAGTCCAAAGAACTAAAATACTTCATACCATAAAGGAAATCTAAAGTTTCCTCAATTCTGAGTAGACAATATGCATCTTTTATAGTACTTGAATTCAATTTTCTATAGTCTTTGCAAAATCTCAAGCTATTATCTTTTTTTCTGACAATACAATTTGAAAGATCATCAAGATTAAACTCAGAAGAAAAAATTAGATGAAGGAGATTTCTCAGTATCTACTATTTCTACCTGCTGCACATTGCAAAAAATAGATTTACCTGGAATAGTATAATATTTATTTGACGTATTCTGGACTTTAAAACGTTTAGTTGACTGAGTTGAGGAACCATTTTCAAAAATTCCTGGTAGCACCTGAAGAGAGCTTGGCATTGGTTTCAAGAACTTACCAGATTCTCAAGCGAATAACAATAATATCTTTAGGGTAGCAACGAACCAAACTCAAGATCCTATAATCCATAAAGTTCAAGTAAGATTAAACAACGATAATTATCCTAACCAACCTTTAACAATTAATCCAACCACAAAGGATTATAATGAATTGTATAGAAACTATAAAAACATGTGTGAATTATTTGGAAATCCACCTCAGTTTGAATATGTAGATTTTGCACTTAATCATCCAATCTTCTGTTTTGATCTATCAGCTCACCATGAAGATCTTTTCAAAACAGGAGTGAACATAAATATTCATATTGAAAAAACACAAGGAGATGTAACCGGTTATTGTTTACTACCCGAAGAAGCAAAACATTTAATTAAAATAGCAGATAGAAGAATGATAAGAATTGAGTAAAAAATATACCCTTAAAAATAAAACCAGAAACTTTAGTTATGAAAATAATAGAAGCTTCCCCAACTGTAATAACTTTCAATGGTAAACAAATCAGCATAACTAAAAAACTTATTGATAAATACAAATATTGTAAAGTCAAGAGACAATATAGACTTAAAAAGAATTGACGCGAACGCAATTTGGTGGTATTGCAGTGGCTGTTGGAATAACAAAAACCGTCATCTCAAATAAAGCAGCTAAAGCAACAGCTGCCGAAGAACGCAGACACAATTTAGAAATGGAAAAGCAAGCATGAGGTTTAGGAGTGGCAAATATATTAGGTACAGTTAAAGAATTTGGGAAGCGATTTGGGTAAGAAACCAAGAAAACTGTTAAACAAAGATTAAATAAATTAGTAGTTAGTATTGACACAGGAGAAGTCAAAGTCAAACATAAGGGTTATGGAATATTTTTAAAAAACATATGCACTGGAGAAGGAATATATCTTTCAAAGTATAAAGGAGATGGAGTGGTTTTTGGAATAAAATAAAACAATAAAAAATGGGCAAAAAATTTAATGATTCAGAAATATTTCCTAATAACCCAATGCTCATGTGTATATGTGGTAGTTCCGGTTCTGGGAAAACTCATCTCACTTTTAACATGTTGACAACACCAAACCTTTTAGATTTCGATTCACTATATATCTACACAATAACACCAGAGCAATCGTTTTATCAATTCCTCAAAGCTTTAGAATAGTTACCAAAGAAAGATGTTCAAGACATATTTCAATATTACGAAGAAACGAAGAAGAAGTGGAAATAAAAGATATCATAGATAACAAAGATAGCAAAGAGTCCAACGGATATAAAAGTTTTTCTTACGAAAAATGTTAATGATCTAGACTTGTCTAATATTGATAGCAATCGAAAGAACTTAATATTGTTTGACGACTGCGTAGCGCAAAGAAATCAAACTGTTCAACAGGAATTCTTCACGAAAGGAAGACATCACAACTGTCACTGCATATACCAATCCCAATCTTTTTACGGGATGGATTCTATATTCATTAGAAAAAATGCAAATTGTTTTTTATTATTTCAATTAAATGATAAAGATTTATCTCAAATCATTCAGTCGATTAATCACGGAATGGACAGAGATGCATTTAAAAAAGAATGTAAAGCTCAATGGAGAAACCCAGATGATCATGGATATGTATTTGAAAATACTAGAAAACCTGCAGGTGAAAGAGTGTATGATTGACATATGTTAAGTTTATTTTTTTAAAAATGGATAATTGGAGTAATATTTTAAATAGAAATAGAGAATATATCAAAGCTAAGAATAAAATAAAGACCCAAGTTGAAAATAATAAATTACAACAACTTGGATTAACAGAAAATATACAAACTCTATTTCAACCAATATTAAAATCTAAAGAGGATATTAAAAAGAAATTAGCCTTAGAATATAGACCTCCTATAGAACCTCATAAAGATCACCCATAACCAAATCAATATGGTGGTATTATAATTAGGACATTAGATGATATTAATAGTCTTTTTCCAAACCCTAAAGCAGATTTACCAAAGAGTATTACACCAATCATTGAAGATGAGGGGTTAATGTTTAATGGATTTAGAATAAAATTTAGGGCAAATTCCCCTTTATTCCAAATCGATACAAAAGACTTAATATTTACATTAACAAAAGGATTAATAGATTTAATGAATGGCGGGTATATTGGCATTGCCGATTACAAGGATATACTAGCATACTCAAAATTTCTACATGCAATAAGAAAGTCGGGACCCGAAACAAAAAGATTAAAAGCAGTTGAAACATATATAAAAAAAGTTATTCCTGATGAATATGAAGTTGATGAATATGAAGATGAGGTATCAAATGATTATGCAGAAGATTATCCAGTCATACAAGAAATAGACGAATTCGATGATATGGTGGCATCTGGACAAGATATAACGTTTTTATCCGACAACAACGAGTAACTACTTAATAGATTACGAGTAATATTAGAATGTAAGTAAATAAATGTATTAAATGTATCAAATTTATCAGAGATAAGGTTAATAATACTGAAAAAAAGTTCATTTGATATGAATGTTATCGTCTAAAATTTCAATATTATTCATATTTTTTAAGCAACTATTTTTAACTAGGAATTTTTAACTTTTATTGATGATATTTCTACATCAAATTTATCTAAATTTTCATTGAATTTTTCTAATTCTTCAGTGGTTATGTTCTTATCTTCTCTCGAACTTTCGAAAAATATAAACAATTTATTAAGATATGTATTTAAAATTTCTGTTTTCTTTTTATAATGAGATTTCTGTTTTGATGTAAAACCTAAAGTAATCAATCCACAAGATGAAGTTTGAACGGCAGTGAACGCGTTAACCCTACTGTTAGAACTGTAATGTTTTGAAAACAGAATGAATTCTACTCCATGTTTTTCTACATTTGTTAAAGTGTTTTAGTTTTTCTTTTAGTTCATTTTGTCTTTCTATCATGTATTGTTGTCTACTTTCTAGTTCCATTTTTTAGGTAATTAAATTAAGTGAACTTCTGATAAAGCTGCTATGTGTTTACTGTCATCAATAACAACTTTAACAGTTATTAACGATATTTGTTATATTTGTTTGTATAGAGATTGATATATTAACATATGCAGCATCATCATCTCTTATTTTTGGTATCAAAAATTTTTGTTTTTGTTGACTTTTATGAATATCAATTGAGGTAAATATATCATTATTAACAAAATATAGTTTTACATATTCAAAGTCTGTCGCTCATAAAAAGTCATAACTGCTTGCTTCTTTTTGTGGTTCTGGATTTCTAATAATACTTACTGATGGTGGACTTTCCGTTTCCAAAATCTCTCAATCCAAGTTGATCTTTATTTTCATTATCTGGTATGATTAACATTCTAAACCTATCTATATATTTTCCACTCGTTTTAATTTCATATAAGTGATTAACCTTGTTGTTTTCATTGTAAATTTCATATTCTTTAGTTTCTACATTGTCTCTACCATTGATAAACTGAAGAACTTTTAGAGCGTTAAATTGATGATTAGATGAAGAGGTTTGTGAGAAGACTATTGAATTGATTTTTACCTTCATAGGAAATTAGATTTCAATTACACCTTGTCCTCGGAAAGAAAAACGATTCTGGAAAACCGTTACCAAATAAGTTTTTAGGGTCTCCATCTGCTACATGAGGAAAAAATAGTGTTATATTTGCTATAAATCCATATTTTTTCAATAAATATATTTTTGATTTATTGATATTATGAGTAATAAAAGCATCTTTATTCTTCAAACTTCCAAATGGAAGATTGAAATAATATGATTTATTTTCTTTCTTGAGATACTTTTCTAATGCGACTATATTTTTGTTTAAAACTACGTTATTAATAGTGGTTATCTGTTGTTGAATAACACTATCATCAATGTTCTGTATTTGTTGTTGAATATAGGTTTTGATTTCGCTATCATCAATATTTTGTATTTGTTGTTGAATATAGGTTTTGATTTCGCTATCATCTATATTTTGTATTTGTTGTTTAATATTTCTTAGTTCTTTTTGTAATTCACTGTTTAGTTTAGTTTCCAGAGTATTTAATTCCTGTTGAAACGTATCTTCATTTTCATCTGGAATGTTATCTATTAATGTCTAATTTTTGTTTTGCAATCTTATCATCTAATTTAGATATTACTGAAATTAAATTTTGTAACTCAGTTTTGTTCACTACCAATTCTTGTTGAATAAAGCTTATTAAACCTGCTACCTCTTTTTGTAGTTTAGTTTCATTAACAAAATTTTTATTATTTAGTTGACGTTTGAAGAATCTTTTCACATTACTTATTTTATCTTCTAAATGGTTTTTATTTACTTCAATTGAATTTATTTGATCCCATAAATATTTCTTGTGAACAGCGTCATTATCATTTTCCAGAGATTTTAAATTAGTTACTTTGAAATTGTTCATATTTAAATCACCTTGACGAGTGTCTCTGATTTGATCCACAAAGTAAGGTTTCGCTTTATTTATCCATGCTGTAGTGTTAGGTTTTTTAGTTTCTAAAGATAAAGAACCTAATCCAAACTTGTTCGCAATTTTTATTAAGTTAAATTTATTACAATTTCTTCAAACTGTTTTCCTAAACTTAATTGATATAAAACCCAAAGTGAAAGCTCACCACAAAACTTTTGTCCTGGTAATTGAATTTGAAATGTTAAACATTTGATTGGTTTATTAGTCAATTGCATTATCTTTTCAGTTGGTTCTAATCCATAAGAATCGAAAAAATATAAGTTATTTGAAGAGTCTTTGTACAAAGCAGAATGATGAACTCCTTTTTGATCGGAAGTATGTATATTTGTTATAGCTTAAAATTTACCTTTCTTATATTTCAGATCATTTATTTCATTTCTCATACAATAATAAAACGATGATATATTTAACTCAATCGCCCATCTCATAAGTTGAAAGTTTGTGGTTCCATATTTATCGAGAAAGATATGCATTTTTAAAAGTCGGTTTTTTGAGGAGTATGCGGTAAGTATTGTTGAAAACCCAATTGATGAAATATAAACGTAGTTTGTGTTAAAAAAAAATTGTATAACATTCTGATAAAACACATTAAATAATATTCTGAACATAAATTTGCATTTAAATTTAAGAAAGCATAAATGCTTGTCGTCATCTAAATTTCTTGATCTTCTCTCAAATTCTTTATCATCATCTTTTGATCATTTTGATAAAACCTTCCTATGATTTGTTCTCTGTCTTGATCGATTAATTCATATGTTGGAGGTGAAGTGGTGTTTACTTTATCAACGATGAATATTTCATTTGTCCAGTATCCAACATAACCTTTTTCGAATTTACTTTTATATTTGAAAATACGAACTCGATCTCCAACTTTAAATTTGGGTTTAATATTTAAATTATTTATTTCATTTTAGTAGTTATGTTGTGCGTTAATTGACTATATAATATTTGGATTATTTGTGACTTGTGTTGGTGTGACACCCATAGATGAATGAATTTTGTTATTGTATTCATCTACAACCTCTGGTAATATTTTACGCCATTTTTGAGATTTCAATTCCGTGAACTTTTTGAATAATTTATTTTTTAGAGTTCTATTATATCTCTCAATAACTACAGCTTTACCTTCATTATGCGTGCTGTAAATTTCAAACCCAAGTGATTTCATAGTTTTGTTATAAAATTCACTTCCTTTATCTACCCACAGTTTTTCTGGATGTCGGTTAGATTGTTTTATGATCGTTTCAAATGTGTGTTTGACTGATAATCCTGTTTTGTTTTTCAAAGGAATAACCCATTCATATCTCGTATACAAATCTATAATTGTTAAGCAATATTTATATCCTCTTTCGACTGGCATATTAATTAAATCGGCTAACCATATTTCATCTTTTTCAAACACTTTGACCTTTAAAAAGTTTTTAGTTTTTCTAAATTCTTTATGAATTTCATCCGCTAATCCCATGCCCAATTTCATCTTTGCTTTCGAGAGTTTAATGATCAGAGCCCTTTGCATTCTCTCTTTGAAAGTTGGATTTGGAATATTTTCAAGTTCGATTATCATTTGTCTGTCTGCTTCGTGTCTGAAGTTTATGTCTTTGTTTGAGAACCCAATGATTTTTGTATATCTCCTGAACCAAAATAAGTTTTTGGAGCGTTAGCGACAATCATTTTTATCCTATAACTTTAAAATCTTTTCGTTTCCTTTCTTCTAATCTCCTGTTTCGCAGTTCTCTTATTAGCTGTAATTCTTTCAACTCGTTAGATTGTTTCACTGTGTCGCTTATACTCTTTTCCGCTTTCGGATTGAGCCGATGGCTTTCGCTCCGGATGAAATAAGTGATTTGTTTTTTGAAACAAAGCTAGCTACTTTTGGAATAATTTTTGAACCTAGAGAAAATATTGATGAAAACATACTGTCGCCCAATTAATCTTCGAATTTGTGTTGTTCGTGTTTTAGAATTAAACTCCTATTTTTTAAATGAGTTAATTTAACGAAGAAATTGTGTTTCCAAAAACAAGAGTTATCTCCCTTCTACATTATTAAAAAAGCGGTATTTTTAATATGCTTTTTTTGAATGTTGGAATTGATAAAAACGCCATACAAAGACAATACATACAAAAACGCCATACAAAAAACAGTACGAACACAACCTAGGCGTCCCCAGGTATTCACACTCATTCACACATCTTAGACAAATACATAATACAAGTGAAACAAAACAGAAATTTACACACAATAGAAGTCAAAGTAAAGTTATAGGCCTACACACAGGTGAAAAAGGTATACCACAGCACAAACATGAACAATGACACACACGACAACGGCACATAAAAATTCTCCAAAATAAATTATTAATTCCCATTCCAATTCACGTTGGGCATCAATTATGTAACGGGGTAAACAAGTGACAGGAAAACTTGATATAAAATAGTTTATTTACAACAGCAAATAACTAGCAAATACTTCGGTATATAGATATAATGTATATATTATAAACTCTGAAATAAATAAATATAATAACTATTTTAGACACTAGGAAATAACCCAAACGATAGTTTTATGTAATGGAAATAAATATGCTGCAGTTTTAAAAACGGATAAGATCAATATTTACAATTTAACCTATTTCAATTAGATACAATGCTTACCCTAATTCCTAGGAGTTTTAATTCAAAGTAGTATTTCAATATAATAATTTTATCCTCTGTGAAACTATAAATATTTAACACTTGAAACTTAATGCTTTTCTATGAAAAACAAAAACAAAGTAACTAGGAAACTAGTGAAAAACTGCCACCTATAGGAAAAAAGACTAATTAACTTAACTCATGATGAGTGCTATTTACAAAACTACACTTAGCAGACAACAAAATGAGACTGCCAACTTAACAAACACGAACATAGCAACTAAGCAAATACAAAAAGACAATATGAAACAATATAGCTACACAATAATATACAACACTACTACATTCAAAATGCAAACTCTACTTTTCTTTAGTTAATTACAACACAACTTAAACTGGACATAACAATACTATTTAATATATCACTTTGCCAATACTTAGAATGATGCCAACAGTATGGTGTATGTGTCTAATGCATAATAATTTCTCCTAATACTTTCCGATTTACATTATATACATAAATTCATTTGGATCACCATAACAATACTTTGTAACATACTCAACAATAAATACATATATATATACATATAGAAATATACACCCATTAAAATACATATAGATAAATAAGATTAACTGTTAAAGGACATAATTTTTATACTGCAGTCCAAATTTACATTTCTTGTTGGCATGATAGAAGCTACAGTCTTTATTTGATCTTGCTGAAACTTGGCATGCATGCATTGGTGAGATCTCAATCAGGTTTGAAATTGGTAATAATCAGATGAATAGTTTTAGAGTTATTGCCCTTGACCTACTAATAACACATCAAACTTGGCTTGTAAGCCCAATAGAGGCTACAGTTTTTATGTGCCCCATATGTCAAATTTTGCTTGTAGGTACAATAAAGGCTACATTTTTTATGAAACTTGGTATGCCTGTATATTGATGAAATCTCAGTCAAGTTCGAAATTGCTATTAATCGGATGAACGATTTGTCAAAAGTTTTTGACATTTATATTACGTTTACATGCTTGTAGTGTGTGTAGTCATATCTAATAGTAAAACGTCAAAGTTAAATAAAGTGAAATGTCAAAGTTAATGTAATGATAAGCAGTTGCTATTGACAAATTTTTCCGACATTTTGTACATTTTTGTAGTGTGTGTAGTCATATCTTAGCAAGGTAATGAAATAGGTGTCGCATTTGTTTGTTTACAAGTCTGCTTTCCTTTTTGGCAATGAAAACAGCAGGTTTATTCTGTGAAATTCAAAGTAAGCAATCTCCAAAGTCAACCGATATTTTTAGTTCAATGGCAAAACGGCAAAGTTACCACAATGAAGAAGAGGTGCTTGCGGCAGTGGTTCTGAATTCCGCAGAATCAGACGAAGAATGGACCAAAGCCGATGATGATGGTAACAAGGAAAATACTACTTCTGATGTTGGTGTTTGTTTGCAGTCTGGTGCATTTAGATTTATTAACTCGAGAAGGATAGCATAGATTGCAAGATCATTCTTATTTTTGCTGACAAATTTGATGCTAATTTTGATGGTGTGTCTGGCTAAGAGAAAGTTTTTTTAAATGAAGATCCTATTAATTATTTTTTCCTAATTCAACATTTGGTATTATGGCAGAAAAACAAATCGTTATGCTTTTCAGTACTTTGATAATCCAGTCGACTTGCAGCTTCAATCTTTTTGTTGCTTTGTAAATTGCTATGGGTTTGTGCCAAAAACCAACTCTTTAAAGCTATTGGGATGAATGGTGGCTGACACACACAGTGAGTTTTTTTGTCATGAGCTGCAACCGATTTCAGTTGCTCCGCTCATTTCTTCACTTCAGTGATAATTCTTTACAAGTCGTAAAAAGGACAACCTGGTTTTGACTTCCTATTTAAAGTCAGACCTTTAATTTCATTGGTTCAAGATACATATATTGGAGTATAACAGCCACATCAATTTTTGTCCATAAATGAAATTTAAAGGCAGAGTCAGCTTTAAACAGTATATGCCTAACAAGCCAAACAAATGGGGTTTAAAGATTTGGTCATTATTATTTTAAGTGTATGTTGGCAAAGAGAAAGAGGTGGAGAAAATGGACTTGGCTTTTAAGTTGTGAAAGAACTTTTAAATGGATATACAAATGGATACAAAGTTTTTATGGATAATTTTTTTTCACTCAAAATCTGTTTTATTATTTACTTCATCAGGTTATTGGAGCTTGAGATACGGTACGTTCCAACAGGAAAGGTTTGCCAGTTGACTTGCAGACTGTAAAGTTAAATAAAGATAGTGGATGGTTAAAAACGAAACATCTATTTTAAGTTTCATCAAAATCGGTTTAAAACTAAGTTAGAGAGTAATAGCATATTCAAGATTTTGGGGCAAGGGCAATGACTCTGCTTCTAACGGTCGAAAATAGCTCAAATTCGAACTTGATCTTCGTTTTATGAATATGTATATATATACCGAATTTCATTTGATTCCATCCAAAAATCTAGTTTTTAGAGCGTTTTCCAGTTTTCTTTATGAAATATGAGTCATAATAATAGACTTGACATCACAAATGACAACGATGTGTTGTCACTTACAGATCCCGATGAAGGAGACTTTTTAGGTTTTGATAAAGTTGAAGTAGACAACGCTGCTTCCGTGATAAGAGACCATGTCAAATTTAATCCTAAAGAGAAATCTATGATCAAGGGTAAAAGGCCAGCCAAAGTTACTAAAAGTTTATCACTTAAACCTAGTACTAGTAGTAGTACAAAAAATGTTGGTTTTACTTCAACCACTTTTGGCTCAGTCGTGAATGAAAATTCTAATAATATTAAAGGGTCTTCTGAGAGGAAAAGAAAGTTAGACCCAGTAGAAAGCGTAGTTTTCAATGAGATCAGTAATAGACATTTAGTAGATCTTAACAACATTTCAGGACAATATTTTCAGGCTTTAAAAATAAAGTTTGGCCTCGTAGAGGCAGCAAATATGAATGATAACAATGATTTTGATTATGATGTAAATTTATTTGATTAATATGATTACAGTGATGAGTACGATCAATATGTAAAAGATAAAAGACCTAATATTCGGGTAGAAATTGACAATGATACACATAATAACAATATTAATTGTTCTGATTTTAATAGTAAAATGAGCAATGCAATGTTTAGTTCTGCTGATGATGATACTTTAGTAGTAAACGATGGTACTGAGCAGTCAATTTTGAGGCAGTTGCCCAAATTAAAAACTCCTGCTAGAGGGCCATCAATTGACCAGTCATTGGCAAATCTTATTGATACAGCTTGTACAACTCACTGTGAGACTGGAATGATTATAAGCAAGTATGATTTACCAGAAAACTACAAAATGTTATCACCCCCTATGGTAAATCAAGAAATTTGGGGCAAAATTGACGCTCGTTCGAAGATTTACGATAAATCATTTAAAGAAGTTCAGCAATTGGCAGCAACAGCTATTGTGCCTTTAGTAAAATTAGCGGAATTGCTAAAACCAAGCATAATTAAGAATGAGCAATCTAAGTGCCTATTTTCAGATGCTATAACCCTTATTAGTCAAGTTCAGTATCATTTATCTCTAAGAAGGCCATTTCTAATCAGACCTGTCCTTAAAAAGAAATATTCTGACTTGTGTAACATTAATGTACCTATTTCTTCAATGTTATTTGGTGATGATATGAGAGAAATTAGAAAGTGTGATGCTTCAACTACTGTTATTTAACCGACAATGAAATCAGGTTATAATAATAGATTTCGAGGAAGGGAGGGTTTGATTTTCCAAATGTACAGGCCTAGGGTGGAGCAGACACTTTATTTAGAAATTAGGATTAAGGGTCTTGATATTGGGTTTTCTTCTGTTCTTATTCTGATCTGAAATTAGAAAAAATAACTAATGGGCGAGAAGTATAGTATCTGTTATGTACTGATTGTTTTTAGTTTGCTATGAACAATATTATCATTTAAGTTCTTATTTTTTGAATATGCAACTATCATTTTCTGCTTATAGACATGGGGGAATTTCTCTTGAAGGCTCTTATAGTGGGCATGAACTATCTTGCTTGCTCGATTGCTGGTTGTATTGAAGGGGACAACAAAGGGTGCTATGCCTACATTATGATGAATATTTAGTCCTATAGGTCTTGCTGTATTCAATGTCTCAATCCAATGGGCTTCCCTAGATTGACGGAATTTGGTAGTTTCATCTTCGGGCAAGTCAATTTCTATGTGCTCAATTGGGATTAGGGTGAGATAGTCTATTGAATGGTCATCGAGGTTGAAATGATTAGAAACAGGCTTGTCTTTCTGTAATTTGATGTCCGACCTATGAGCATTAAAACGAATTTGTACAAATTCGATGAAATTGTAAAACTTGAGACTTAATTATACCAGAAAAGGTATGTTTTGGGTGAAAGGAGCTCTTGTGCAAGAGTTGATGAGTATCAGTTTCTTTGAAATCGATTTAATATCCAGTTTATTTGTTTCTGCTATAGAATCTCCCTTAAAGACAGTGGTATCGAGAAAGTCTATGCTTTTGTCACTCACGTTTGCCGTTAGTTTGATATCGTCTTTCTTAAGTAAGTTTAACGCTTCACGTTCCACTCGTGTGAGATTAGGCTTTTCATGTGTTATGTTAATCATGTTAGCAGTTTCTTTGAAAATTGGTTTCGGTAAAATGGCATAATGTTTAGGATTATTCAGTTGATTCTCTGCTTCTGAAACGTAATCCTCCCTATTCAGAATGGCACAACATGAACCTTTGTCACTCTTTTTAATAACAATGCTATCGTCTTTCTTAAGTAAGTTTAACGCTTCACATTCCACTCTTGTGAGATTAGGCTTTTCGTGTGTTATGGAAAGGTTCGCTGTTTGGCTATTCATACTCGCAAATGCTTTCAATATTTCAGGATGGATGGCGGCCTGAGGGGGTGTCCACGTGGATTTAGGAATAAACATTGTTCTAGCACCACGTGGGGGGGTGGTTTTGAAAAAAATATGTGCAGCTAAGATTTCATTGAAATGGTCGTATGATTCCAGGATTGACTGTATGTGATGGATTTGGGAACCGGGGTAAGAATGTATTTCAGTGTCTGAACTGGTTTTGGTAATTCGATTCAGGTTAGATGATCCAATAATTAAGGTAGATTTCTTTAGAGCAGGTAGCTTAAATAATGATTTGTCCTTGGTTTGGTGATAATACGGTTTGGTAGCGGATATAATGGTTGTCGACGGTGTGATTGGTACTGGTTTGGTAGTTGTTAGAAATGTAGCATTGGGAACGGACTGAGATCTGGTTCGAGGGGGGGAAGGTCTAGATACATGTCTCGACTTGGATGGAGACTGAGAGCCATGTCCGGTTGAGGGATCTAATATTCGTGTCGACAGCTGATGTTTTCATTGCTGGACGGATAAAACTGTCCAACTCAAAGACTTTGCGTTTGAAGGTAAACGCTGGCTGGCCTTGCTGTTGAAGGGTAAGGATTGCCAAATGATGGAGGCACTGCAAAACTTGGAAGAACATCTTCACAAAGGATTCTTCCTCCTTATGAGTGGGGACCGGTTGGCGTCGGTGGGCTGGTAGTCGTTTCTGTTGTTGGTCAGGTCGATGGTTACCTCTGGATTGGTAGGCTGTGTTGTAGGTAGGTCGACGATGGGGTGGGATATAGCTGGGTTGGTTGGTGGTCGGCAATTGGTAAGTGGAAGCCGGGGCCATTGTAGGGTATGTGATATTGGTTTGGTTGACGATTAGTGTTACTATGTCTGGCTTCTTGACAGTGGTTGTTGTAGTTGGGGAGCATAATGAAAATAACTTGAGGTTAGAAAGGGAATGTACAGCGAATGTAACAGGAGGAAACTGTATATGCTAGCGTGAAAATGTGGGGATCAAATTATGCAAATAAGTCAAACTGGGTTTGGGGATATAAGATGAGATTAAGATGAGAGTTATGATGAAAAATGCAAAAATATATATTTAGGTGATAAATAACGCTAACAATGATGTGAAAAATTATAACAAGTAAAACAAAAACTTATGCAATTGACACGAACCGGTTTTCGAAATATTATCCTTTTTCAAGTGTCGAGGAATGGTTATAGATATCAGTTATATGGTAATTTTCAATATTCTGGTCAGAATTCTTTTAGAGGTCAACCTGGAAAACGTGGCCAATGGGGTATTTTAGCTCAGGATCCGCAGACCTCAGGAACACAAGGGTAGTGGACGAGACTATTCCAGCACACACTGTTGATAATGTAAATAATGTGGTAAGTTCAGGAAATATCCGTTTTTGTATCGATAAATGGAAAGCATTTACCAGTGATACATGGATACTTAATACTGTTAGTGGGTACAAAATTGAGTTTATTGCTCCTTGTTTTCAAAACAAACTTCCCAATAAAAATCCTGTTGATGATTTTCAAATGTCTATTATCGATAATGAAGTAAAGGAGTTGGTTGCAAAGGGTGCAATTGTTCCAAGTGTTTGAGAAGCTCATCAATTTGTTTCAGATATATTTATTGTACCCAAACCAAATGGGAAATTTAGGCCAGAAATCAATCTCAAGCCTTTGAATGCTTTTGTCTTGTATGAGCATTTTAAACAGGAAACCTTTACAATGGTTCTTGATTTCCTTAAGAAAGATGATTTTCTTTGTTCAATTGATCTCTGTGATGCATATTTTAGTATACATATTCATGAGTCTTATCAAAAGTACCTCAAATTTGTATATATAAATTTGTATCTCTTCCGTTTGGGTTAAGTTCTGCTCCTCGTATATTTACCAAAATCTTAAAACCTGTTTATTCTTGGTTTAGGTATCAAGGTATTCATTGCTCTTATTATATAGATGATTCTTTGGTAATGGATAAAAACAGTCAGTCTTGTGTTAATAAAGCAAAAATTATGGCAGATACTTTGAGTTCACTTGTTTATAAGATTAATGAAAAGAAATTGGTTTTTGTCCCATTGGTAGTACTAGACCTTGCAATATGGTCGCGGAGCCGCGGTGGCTCAGTGAGTTAGACGCTTGCTCGCTAACCTGAAGGTCCAGGGTTCAATCCCGGCATAGGTTGAGATAATACCTTCGGATTTTTCAACCCGGTTTCCCCCTGTCAGTGATGCAGGTACGAGGTGCTGACATGGAAAAAGCGTCTAGTCGTTCGGATGGGACAATAAACCGAGGCCCCGTGTGCTACAGGCTGTGCACGTTAAAGATCCCTCGACAGTTGGAAATCGAAAAAGAGTAGGCTAATGCCGCTGTCCTGGCAAAATTTCCCTCATTGCATCCTGCATGGCGTTGGCCGTCTTCATTGGCCCACATGGTGCAGAAAAGTAGGACGTAAAACTCCATTCATTTCAATTCATTTCAATTTTGGTCTTTTTTGGGACCTTTCAATATGGTCGCACTTTCCCCATGGAATGAAATGGAATGGGGAATCCCCTTGCGACCATATTGAAATGTCCCAAAAAAGACCAAATACCCTACATTTCATAAATTCTTACACCAAAAAACACCTTCAATCAATTCCTACATTCCATCAACCCCCAAAAAAGAACCTATTCATTAAATTAAACGAAAAAAGCATATTAAAAATACCCTTATATAAAATAACTTCCTTGTTTCGCTTACCATCCGTTTTTTAATAGCCTCCTTTTAAATAATGTTATTTTTAGTCTAAAAACTTCTAGAAGGAAGATAACTCTTTTTTTTTGAAAAAAAAACAGACAACAATTTTCTACCTTAAAAATGGCAAATAAAATACTAGATCCAATCTTTAAATTATACAATCCGATTCGTTATTCATTTAACAAGAAAAAAGAGAATTATATTATCATCTCAACGACTGTTGGTTCTAAATCCCAGTTGAATGATGTTGGTAGAATTACCTTCAAAATAAATTCATTATCGAATTGGTTGCTTCTTTCTGATGCTTATTTCAGATGTGATTTCAAAATTAAAGATGGAACTCCCAATGAAAATCGTTTACCACAAACAAATACAACGTTAGAAAACAATTTCTTTCCATCTTTATTTAGCGAGATGGTTTTGGAAGCTGGTTCAAAACCGATAGAAACAATTAAACACCCTGGGGAATTCGACACAATGTTGAAAACAGTTTTATATCCTAAAGATTTTGGTTGGAACATAGAAAAGTTTCCGTAGGGTTACCATATAAAATTCATCTACAAAGAGAAATCAACAATGATAAGATATTCTTTGGAGAGAATGCTTCAAATGCAAAATTAGAAATAACGAATCTCCAAATTTTCATACCAGTAATAACACCATCAATTGAAGTAGAAACGAGAATATTCAACTCATTAACTAAAGATATTGAAATAGCTTTTCTTCATCGTAATACGGTAGGTAGCATGACTTTAACCGGAGAATCCACCAAATGGCCAATCACTAACACTATTAGACCAGCAAGATATTTAATGGTTGGTTTCAAGAACTTGCCAGACCCTCAGACGAATAACAATAATATCTTTAGAGTAGCAACAAACCAAACTCAAGATCCTATAATCCATAAAGTTCAAGTAAGATTTAACAACGATAATTATCCTAACCAGCCTTTAACAATTAATCCAACCACAAAGGATTATAATGAATTGTATAGAAACTATAAAAACATGTGTGAATTATTTGGAAATCCACCTCAGTTTGAATATGTAGATTTTGCACTTAATCATCCAATCTTCTGTTTTGATCTATCAGCTCACCAAGAAGATGTTTTCAAAACAGGAGTGAACATAAATATTCATATTGAAAAAACACAAGGAGATGTAACAGGTTATTGTTTACTACTCGAAGAAGCAAAACATTTAATTAAAATAGCAGATAGAAGAATGATAAGAATTGAGTAAAAAATATACCCTTAAAAATAAAACCAGAAACTTTAGTTATGAAAATAATAGAAGCTTCCCCAACTGTAATAACTTTCAATGGTAAAAAAATCAGCATAACTAAAAAACTTATTGATAAATACAAATATTGTAAAGTCAGAGACGATATAGACTTAAAAAGAATTTAATATTTGGTGGTATTGCAGCGGCGGTTGCAGCAACTGGTGGAACATCTGCCGCAGTCAAAGCTGCCAACGCAAAGAAAGCAGCTGATGCTAAAGCCGCTGAAGAACGCAGACATAATTTAATAATAGAAAAGAAAGCCAAAGGTTCAGGAGTGGGAGATATGATAGGCACAATAAAAGAATTTGGAAAAAGATTTGGGGAAGAAACCAAGAAAACTGTTAAACAAGGATTAAATAACTTAGTACATAGTATTGACACAGGAGAAGTCAAAGTCAAACATAAGGGTAATGGAATATATTTTAAAAATATACACACTGGAGAAGGATTATTTCTTTCAAAGTATAAAGGAGAAGGAGTGATTTTTGGAATAAAATAAAATAATAAAAATTTGGGCAAAAAATGTTATCATTCAGAAATATTTCCTAATAACCCAATGCTCATGTGTATATGCATTCTGGGAAAACTCATCTCACTTTTAACATGTTGACAACACCAAACCTTTTAGATTTCGATTCTTTGTATATCTACACAACACCAGAGCAATCGTAAATTATCAATTCCTCAAAGCTTTAGAATATCTACCAAAGAAAGATGTTCAAGACATATTTCAATATTACGAAGAAAACGAAGAAGAAGTGGAAATAAAAGATATCATAGATAACTTCATTAAATCAAAGAATCCAACGGATTTAAAAGTTTTTCTTACGAAAAATGTTAATGATCTAGACTTGTCTAATATTGATAGCAATTGAAAGAATTTAATATTGTTTGACGACTGCGTAGCGCAAAGAAATCAAGCTGTTCAACAGGAATTCTTCACGAAAGGAAGACATCACAACTGTCACTGCATATACCAATCCCAATCTTTTTACGGGATGGATTCTATGTTCATTAGAAAAAGTGCAAATTGTTTTTTATTATTTGAATTAAACGATAAAGATTTATCTAAAAATCATTCAGTCGATAAATCACGGAATGGATAGAGATACATTTAAAAAGGTTTGTAAAGCTCAATGGAGAAATCCAGATGATCATGGATATGTATTTGTAAATACTAGAAAACCTGCGGTTGAAAGGTTTATGATCGACATATGTTAATTTTAATTTTTTAAAAATGGATAATTGAAAAATATTTTAAAAAGAAATAAAGAATATATCAAAGCTAAGAATAAAATAAAGACCCAAGTTGAAAAAAACAATTTTCCAACAACTTGGATTAACAGAAAATCTACAAACTCTATTTCAACCAATATTAAAATCTCAAGAGGATATTAAAAAAAAATTAGCTTTGGAATATATATCCACCCCTCATCACCCCAAACCGATTGAATATGGTGGTATTATAATTAGGACATTAGATGATATAAAGTATTATTTTTCAAACCCAGACACAGTTTTACCAAAGAGCATTTCAACAATCGATGATGATGTGGGGTTATTGTTGAATGGTTTTAGTATAAGATTTAGTCCAAATTCACCACAATTCAAAATCGATACAAAAGATTTTATATACACATTAACAAAAGGATTAATAGATTTAATGAATGGCGAGGATGTTGGCATTGTTGATTATAAGGATTTAGTTGCATACTCAAAATTTCTACATGCAATTAGAAAGAAACCAGAAGATTGAAAGAAGTTGATTTATATATAACAAAAGTTATTGAGCAAGATGAAGAGGAGGTAGATGATTATGCAGAAGATTATCTACCAATCATACAAGAAATAGTCGAATTCGAAAATATTGTATCTGGACAAGAAATAGACGAATTCCAAGATATGGTATCTGGACAAGGTATAACGTTTTTATCCGACAACAACAGGACTACTTAATAGATTACAAATAATATTAGCGGCAATGAAGGAAGGACATCGATCAAACAGACAATTTAATGAAGTATACTAAAAAGACTCCTACAGAAAGGTATTATAGATAAAATGATTATGAAAGCGTGATTAAAAATGTCAAATAAAGAACAACTATTCGTTATTACCTCAAATAAATCGGACATTAAATTATCTCTAGATTATGAGTATGAACTCGATCACAATCAAGAATATGAATTGGGATTATAGTATTTCTCTGTTTACAATTCCATTAGAAATATCAACGAAAAAAATAACCAAATAAAAATATCAACAGATAATGGAGTTACATTCAAAACCATACGTTTACTACCAGGAAGCTGCGAATACGTAGCCATTAATGAATACCTATCTGAATATGGAGGAAGTGTAAATGGTAAAAACAATATTGAATTCGAAGGTAATTTGAATCTGAACAAAATAAAATTGATATTAAGAAATAATAGTCAAGTTGATTTCAACGTAGAAAATTCATTGAATGTGTTACTAGGATTTGATAAACGAATATACACTCAATCCACTTTAGCACCACACAAAGCTAATATCGAGAATGATATCGATGTGATAAATATACATTGCAATTTGATAAACGATGGATTTTTCAATAAATACAAACGTCAGATTATTTACAGTCTTCCAACATTCACTGTACCGATAGAATATAGAATTATAGAGAAACTATTTCAAACGACATATTTACTAAAAGATTTTGGTAACGAGGAAATTGTTATTCAACTTCATTTAAAACAAAAGAATTATTGAGTAATGAAACACTCTTTATTCTCTTCTTGAATAGTAAGGTAATCGAAATCATCAAATTTGTAGGTTTCATCCAAACTCAAGTCATCTTTATCACTATAAGGATACATGATTCCTTTGCTGTCCAGTGCCTTTCTCTTAACAAGATTTAAAACTTTCTTTTGTTTATCATCATCCTTTGGAATAACTACTCCATTGGTGAAACTTTTTTCCCATGGTTTCGTAAATTCATTCGTCACATCATGTCCACTAGCTAATCGAATATAATCTTCTACAGCTATCTTATCATTAGAGTAACCCTTAAACGTTTTCTTTTCTTTTAGAATACCGTCAGAAGTTAGAATAATATTATATTTAACTTTTGGCGCTAAATATAAACCATATATAATTCCGCCATCACCGTAATCATTCTTTCCTTTACAATAATCATTTCAGACACCAACCCAGCTTCTTTTAATATATCCCAATTGCTAGACGAAATGTATAAACTACCAGTATCTGTATAGTATATTTCCAGCTTATAAAATCCATCTATTACGTGAATAAAATTATTCATTATTTTTTTACTGTGAGATAATACGAATGACCCCAAATGACTAGGTGTTAGTTGTGTAGATTTAGGAGGTGTACCGTCAAATTCTTTTTCTTCTTCATTTATCTCAACGATATATTGAGTCTCATTTACTTTAGGATAACTTTTGATGTGTCAATCGAAGTTGACTTTTAAAGTTGCTTCACTCCATAAATGTCTCAATGTAGTTATATCCTTCTGAATAGATTTACCATACAATGAATTACCTAATAATTTCATAAATTACTACCTACGATATTACCTTCTCGTTTATATTTATTTCTTAGATATCTCAAAATTAAAATATAATCTCTATATGGTAGAGTTTTAAAATTTTCTTCGTATACTATACCATCTAATATTCTAATAATTCGTCCACCGGCTTTAACTATTTCTTGAATATCGACCGTTGTTAAAACTTCTGAACAGAAATTGTTTCTGAACCCGATTTTAGTGCTAGTTTCCTTTTTACATTCTTTGTTCGTAAAAGTAATTTTATCTTTAGCTGGTATGGTTTGGAAGAACATATTGGTAGGATATTTAAACCAGACTTTTAAAATAGCCGTTCTAAGTCTGAATTTCTGCTTATTAAAGAGCTTAACAAATTCTTCTTCTTCCTCAGTTAAAAATTTTCTAGCACTTTCCGCTTTGGGATATTCACTGTCTAAATCCGACATGGCGGAAGCGTACAAACCGTTAGCATCAAAAGCCATTAGTTTAGTACATTTTATTTTTTTAAGTTTTGAATTAACTTCTGTTTTATCTTTTTTACTTTTAATATATTCTTTAAATAAATCAATTATATTATCACTTGGTGTTTCACTAAACTCCTTTAATACATTACAAATTTCATCCATTTTATTCGTTTCAAATGGTTTTCGATTTGCCAAAACTCTTCCTCCTTTAATGGATTGTCTGATAAAATATCTTATAAAAGGGTGTGTATGTGAGTAAACTTTTTCTACATTTTCTTTTTCGGTGTGTTTTGGAACCATTCTAGTAGTTTCATACCATTCTTCTTCAACCATTTCTTTATCATAATGATATAAATAATACCAACCCTTTAAAGATAAAGAAGTAGCCTTTAGATTATTGGAAACATTTAGTTTTAGAGGTGAAACTTGTGTTACCGCATTATCATCTTTACAAGTTCTCCATATGTTTTCATCGTAATTATCTTCTATTTCTTTAATGCCTAAGGTTTTGTTATTTCTTCTTCTGAGACAGAAATGCGATTTATGTAAGTAAAATACCCAATCTAATTCTGCGGATACTTTCTTTGGTTGAAAATGTCTATGTTTGGGCATATGAATTTGAAAATTAGTATTAAATTTCTTATTGAATTCACAGATTCTAGCAGTTGTCGTAACTCCTTTTCTGTTTGATTTTGAAAAACTGTCGATGAAATCTTGAAATTCTTTTGTGTAGTCTTTGTTCAAAACATAATTTACGCACTTTACAAAGCAGTATCTATCGCTTGGTATATAACAATTTATACCGCTACTATATTCATTTATCTTTTTGAGTATGGTAACACCACTACCCTTTTTTGATCTTTTTATTTCTTTGAAATTGTTTCTACGTAAAATGATTTTTCCTGAGAAATACCAATCAGAAGCATCCGATTTTTTCATCCACAGTTGCGAAAAAATTGTGAAAAGTTTTGGCATTAAAGCCTACAAATTGCATGTTTTGTTTGTGTCCTCCATCTTGAATTATCTATCCATCTAATTCAATTTGCCCTTTAGATGTTGTAAATTTATCAGAGATAAGGTTAATAATACTGAAAAAAAGTTCATTTGATATGAATGTTTCGTCGTCTAAAATTTCAGTTTTATTCATATTTTTTAAGCAACTATTTTTAATTAGGAATTTTTAACTTTTATTGATGATATTTCTACATCAAATTTATCTAAAATTTCATTTTATTCTTCTTATACTTCAATGGTTATGTTCTTATCTTCTCAGGATCTACAATAGGTTTCCCTGTTATAATTATTTCAGGTTTAATAATAAAAACTTTTACACTTACTAAGGATATTTGTTCTTTCGAATCATTAATCTTATTCAGATGAACTGAAAATTTTGGTTTTTCGATAATGATTCTTATTATACATCTACAGGTATATATACCTCCATCTTCTGTTCCATCATTACGTTCAATTATTGATGGAAATATTATAAATTGTTTACCTTGTTGACTTTTATGAATATCGATTGAGGTAAATAAATTATCTGAAGAGATAATTCCGTCTTCATGTAAAAAACTATTATTAACAAAATATAGTTTTACGTATTCAAAGTCTGTCTTCATAAAAAGTCATAACTGGTAAATGTTTCTTCTTTTTGTGGTTCTTGATTTCTAATAATACTTGCTGATGGTGAAATTTCCGTCTCCAATATCATATCAAGATCACTCAATGAAAGTTCATGTTCTTCACTATCGGGTATGATTAACATTCTAAACCTATCTATATATTTTCCACTCGTTTTAATTTCATATAAGTGATTAACCTTGTTGTTTTCGTCGTTAATTTCATATTCTTTAGTTTCTACATTTTTTGTACCATTGATAAACTGAAGAACTTTACGAGCGGTGAATTGACTAGATGAATATAAGTTTTATATGAAGAATATTGATTCAACTTTTACCTGCATAAGAAAAATAATTTCAATTACAATTTTTCCTCGGAAAAAAAATTGAGAATCAAATATTTCATAGGGGGAGGTTAAATCTGGAGAATATACTCTTATATTTGCTGTAAATCTATATTTTTTCAATTCATAATCTTTTGATTTATCAATATTATCAGTAATAGAAGCATCGCTATGTCTATAACTCAAATTTACAAATGGAAGATTGAAATAATATGATTTATTTTCTTTCTTGAGATACTTTTCTAATGCGAGTATATTTTTGTTTAAAACTACGTTATTAATAGTGGTTATCTGTTGTAGAATAACACTATCATCAATGTTCTGTATTTGTTGTTGAATATAGGTTTTGATTTCGCTATCATCAATATTTTGTATTTGCTGTTGAATGTTGGTTTTGATTTCGCTATCATCTATATTTTGTATTTGTTGTTTAATATTTCTTAGTTCTTTTTGTAATTCACTATTAAGTTTAGTTTCCAGAGCATTTAATTCCTGTTGAAACGTATCAACATTTTCACCTGGAATGTTATCTATTAATTGTTGAATGTCTAATTTTTGTTTTGCAATCTTATCATCTAATTTTGATATTAATGAAATTAAATTTTGTAACTCAGTTTTGTTCACTACGTTGACTAATTGTTTTTGAATAAAACTTATTAAACCTGCTACTGTGAACAGCGTCATTATCATTTTCCAGAGTCTNTAAATTAGTTACTTTGAAATCGTTCATATCTAAATCCCCTTGAAGAGTGTCTCCGATTTGATCCACAAAGTAAGGTTTCGCTTTATTTATTCATGCTGTAGTGTTAGGTTTTTTAGTTTCTAAAGATAAAGAACCTAATCCAAACTTGTTCGCAATTTTTATTAAGTTAAATTTATTACAAGTTATTAATATAAGTTATTTGAAGAGTCGTTGTATCAGTTGTATTGTATTCATCTACAACCTCTGGTAATATTTTTAGCTATTTTTGAGATTTCAATTCCGTGAACTTTTTGAATAATTTATTTTTTAGAGTTCTATTATATCTCTCAATAACTACAGCTTTACCTTCATTATGCGTGCTGTAAATTTCAAACCCAATGGATTTCATATTTTTGTTATAAAATTCACTTTCTTTATCTACCCACAGTTTTTCTGGAAGTCGGTTAGATTGTTTCATAATTGTTTCAAATGCGTGTTTGACTGATAATCCTGTTTTGTTTTTCAAATGAATAACCTATGCATATCTCGTATACAAATCTATAACTGTTAAGCAATATTTATATCCTCTTTCGACTGGCATATTAATTAAATCGGCTGACCATATTTCATCTTTTTCAAATACTTTAACTTTTAAAAAGTTTTTAGTTTTTCTAAATTCTTTATGAATTTCATCCGCTAATCCAATGCCCAATTTCATCTTTGCTTTTAACAGTTTTACGATTAGAGCCCTTTGCATTCTCTCTTTGAAAGTTGGATTTGGAATATATTCAAGTTTGATTATCATTTGTCTTTCGGCTTCGTGTCTGAAGTTTATGTCTTTGTTTCTGTATAGTATGTTGTGTTTAAGCGCAGTGGCGTCAACTCTATTGACCGGTTCTTCACCGGGTTTGGGTTTATCGTTTTCGTCTAATCGTAGATCTAGTCTAGTACCTGAACCAGTGTAATTATGACCGGGAAGAAGTTTTTCTCCGGGATATTTTGCCCATGGAAATCCAGGAAGAGAACCCAATGATTTTTGTATATCTCCTGAACCAAAATAAGTTTTAAGAGCGTGAGCGACAATCATTTTTATCCTATAACTTTAAAACCTTTTCCTTTCCTTTCTTCTAATCTCCTGTTTCGCAGATCTCTTATTAGTTGTAATTCTTTCAACTCGTCAGATTGTTTCACTGCGTCGCTTATACTCTTTCGCGATTGAGCCGACTGCTTTAGCCTCGGATGAAATAAGTGATTTGTTGTTTGAAACAAAGCTAGCTAGTTTTGGAATTATTGTTTTACCTATTATTATTTTTGAACCTAGAGAAAATATTGATGAAAAGATACCGTCGCCCGAATAATCTTCGAATTTGTGTTGTTCGTGTTTTAGAATTAAACTCCTATTTTTTAAATGAGTTCATTTAACAAAGAAATTGTTGTCTGTTTTTTTTTTCCAAAACAAGAGTTATCTTCCTTCTAGAAGTTTCTAGACTAAAAATAACATTATTTAAAACGAGGCTATTAAAAAACCGGATGTTAAGCGAAACAAGGAAGTTATTTTATATAAGGGTATTTTTAATATGCTTTTTTCGTTTAATTTTATGAATAGGTTCTTTTTTGGGGGTTGATGGAATGTAGGAATTGATTGAAGGTGTTTTTTGGTGTCGGAATTTATGAAATGTAGGGTGTTTAGGTGTTTTTTGGTGTAAGAAAAGAAAAATGTAGGGTGTTTTGGTCTTTTTTGGGACCTTTCAATATGGTCGCACTTTCCCCATGGAATGGGGAATCCCCTTGCGACCATATTGAAAGGTCTAGTACTACTCCCATCTCAAAGAATACTGTATTTTGGTTTTGTTTTAATTTTACACTTTGCTTCATTACTCTTGAATAAAAGTTCAGTTTCAGTTAGACAGTTAGCATTTTTCATTGGTCTTCTGACATTTTCCTTAAAAATATGAGAACAAGATATCCAGATTGTGTAGTTTGTTCTGAAAGAGAATCTGGGAATAATCACCAAACAAACTGGTACTTTGAAAACTGCAATTTGCCAATGTGTATGCCTGATTGTTTCAAAAATTATCATACAAAACTTGAACTTAAAGTGAAATATTGACAATGAATACACCTAATTGTGATATGTTGAATTAGTTAATGGTTGACTTTTAAGACTTCAACTTTTTTGATATGTTAAAACCTATTGCGTATCTAACTGTGGATTTTGTGATATTTTGAATTTTGCTGATCGGATTGAAAAACTTCAAATAGAATTATCAAACATTTGGCATACTAGTATTGTTTGAATTCTTCATATTTTTATTTTTAAGATTATTTTTATGCATTGAATTTCTTGCAAGTTGCTTATAGGTGTAAGTATTTGACATGGATTATCATCTTTATAGGTGAATGTGAAATGTTTTTGATTTAAATTTGATTTTCCTGAAATACCTTACAACAATGAAATACACTTCAAAGATATATAATTGATGCACTGATCATTATTAATTTTGACACTATAATGACGTCAAAAGCAAATTTTATGCTTATCTCAGAGTTATATCGAATTATTTTCATATATTACATCTTTTTTTGTACATTCATGTACATAATTCACATGTGCTCAATAAAAATTATTGAAATTAAATGTGTGAGGTCAATGTTTTTCCCTCTGCATCGACTATAACATAACCCATGTTATAAAAACGTTGCAGCATGAAACATAACTCCATAACATCATTGACAGTGAAAGGGTTAAATTACATAAAACACATCAAATTTGACTACAGTTTTCATCCAATCTTGATGAAACTCGGTATGCATGTATATAGTAATGAGATCTCAGTTTTTGAGGGTAATAGCCCTTGACTTAGTAAACACACATCAAATTTGACTTATAGACACGATTCAGTTTTTATCCAATCTTGATGAAACTTTGTATGCTTGTTTATATTGATAAGATCTGTTAAGTTCGAAATTGGTAATAATTGGAAGTAGTATATGTCTTTTCGGATATGACGCATTTCACTTCTGCGCATGCGCAGCTTTTTCAATGCGTCATATCCGAAAAGACACAACTGTTAAAATGTATTATAACAGACTCCCCAAACTGTTAAAATGTATTATAACAGACTCCCCAAACTGTTAAAAATGTATAATAACAAACTCCCCCAAACTGTATTATAAATTACCCAAACCACAGACAAGAATCACTAATAATAATACAGTATAAAATAACCGCATTAAAAATGTCTTTAATTTTAAAACACGAAAAAAAAAAATTCGAAGGAGACGGTTTCTTCTCTGCGCTAACATCTTTCATCCCCAAAGTGGCCAATTTTGTCTCAAACAACAAATTTCCTCCTTGTATTAAATCTTTCGTATTAAAAATATATGGTGTTTATTGAACAAATTATGTCTTTAATAAATGTCCATCCTCCTAAAACGTATTTCGGTGCGGGAGACATTCAAAAGTCATTGGGTTCTCTTCCTGGATTCCCATGGGCAAAATATCCCGGAGAAAAACATCTCCCAGGGCACAATTATACAGGTCCAGACACTAGGTTAGATCTGCGTTTAGACGAAAATGATAATCCCAAACCAGGAGAAGAACCCCTTAATAGAGTTGACGCAGCAGCGCTCAAACACGACATACTGTACAGAAATAAAGACGTAACATTCAGACACCAAGCAGACAAACAAATGATAGACAAACTCGAAAATATTCCGAATCCCACTTTCAAAGAGAAATTACAAAGGGCTCTTATCATAAAACTCTTGAAGGCAAAATTGAAATTGGGTATGGGCATAGCAGACGAGATTCACAAAGAATTTCGAAAAAACAAACATTACCTCAAAGTCAAAGTTTTTGATAAAGATGAAATTTGGTCAGCCGATTTAATCAACATGCCAGTCGAGAGAGGGTACAAGTATTGTTTGACGGTGATCGACATATACACGAGATACGCTTGGGTCTTTCCCTTGAAAAACAAATCGGGTCTGACTGTCAAACAAGCATTCGAAACCATAATGAAACAATCCGACAGACGACCCCTAAAGTTGTGGGTTGATAAAGGAAGCGAATTCTACAACAGAAATGTGAAATCTCTGGGGTTTGAAATTTACAGCACGCATAACGAAGGTAAAGCCGTAGTGATAGAAAGATTCAACAGGACTCTTAAAAGCAAATTATTCAAGAAATTCACGGAATTGAAATCTCAAAAATGGCTTAAAATATTACCAGTTGTTGTCGACGAATACAATAACAAAATACATTCGTCTATAGGTGTGAATGTTCTACGTTTCAAATTCAAATTCCAGGACAAAAGCTGTGTGGACAGCTGTCGCTTTGGGTTAAGTTTGGGAGAAAAGTTTGAAGAAATTATAATAAATTTAACTCAATAAAAATGGCAAACAAGTTTGGATTAGGGACTTTACCTCTAGAATCTAAAAATCTCATGAGTTCTACCAATACAACATCGTTTTGACTTCTGATGGTGTTTTAAAAGAAAAGAAAACGTTTAAAGGTTATTCTAATGATAAGATAAGTGTAAAAGATTACGTTCAGTTAGCAAGCGGACATGATGTGTTGAACGAATTTAATAAACCATGGGAAAAAAGTTTCACCAATGGAGTAGTTATTCCAAATGATAAACAAACTTAGAAGTTATTTGAATAATGTTAGAAGAAAACCACCAAACAGTGAAGGGAATATGTATCCTTACAACGACAAAGATGAGTATAGTTTTGACAAAAACTATGAATTTGATGATTTCGATTATCTTACTATTCAAGAAGAGAATGAAGATTGTTTTAAATGAAGTTGAATGATAATTTCTTCATTGCCAAAGTCTATGAACCTCTTTTTACTGTCTTTGATTTCCAGATTTATATCTTTGATCATGAAAGAATTGACTGGTAAATAGGTCGTTTGAAACGGTTTCTCTATAATTCTGTATCCGATCGGCACCGTAAAAGTTGGTATGCTGTATATGATTTGGCGTTTGTGCTT